CTAGCCTTAATCATTAACGTGCGATGATGGGCAGGAAAGTGAGTATGTAAAAATGGCATTTTCTTACTCAGCAGACAAGCACCCTGGCTTTATTCAGAGTCACATCTTCTGACACCATGAGTGACTACTCCAATCAGTTACACTGGTGCAGAATTTGGCCCTGAGTTTGCAGTTGTTTGAGGCATGTTCTACTACTTTTGACATCTGGTAGCCCTGCACAGCCAACAAGGCTCCAAGGTCCTGATTCAGCAATGCACTTAAGTACATGCTGAAATCCCACTGACTTCAGTGGCACTTCAGTCTGTGCTCAAGTGCTTTCCTAAATAGGGATGGACTTCATCATGTTCTTAAGTGGCTTGCTGAATCAAGACCTGAACGCCAGATTTGGATCCCATTTTGGCTTGTGAGAATTGTTAAGCAAGTTCCTATACAGGGTCAACTCTGCCCTCAGTAGAGCTGGCTGAAGATTTTCTGATGGAACAGGCTGGTGGGCTGCCTGGGAGTCCTGGATCCTCAGATGCCAGGCTGCCTGCCTGGCAGGTGCGTGAGCTGACTGATCTACCTGGGAAGTTGGGCAGTCGGTTCCCCACCTGGCTGGCTCCCTGAGCTACCCAGGGGATGGAGGACTGGGCAACCGGTTCTATTGTACCAGTAACCTTTAAAAACTTTAAGCATGCATTTCTCTCAGCTATAAAGTATGGCATTCTCAAATATAGCAAGGTATCCAATGTGCATATTGCGGCTACAGTCTCTGTTCAGCCTTACCTGCTAATCAATAATAAATAAAATATGAATGTTATTCAAAAGCCACGGTATTCTTACTCTGTCTTGGTGAGTTACTGTTATATAGAGCTACATTTCCATCCCATTCAATTATAATCTTATTTGATCTTACAGTACCTAATAATGCTTTCCAGCCTTGCTAAGGCTACTGTCTATCTTTCTGAATTAAATTACAGCTATAACATTATAACTCTACTTATGCAAAGTTTGTTGTGGATATTATTATATTCAAAGGTAAATTTCTCTAGGGACCCAGAGTTCTCTGAATATAAATGAAGTGTTTATAGTACAATCTTATTAATAAATAATGCTTTTATTTATTGTAATTGTTTAAATGGCGTCTACTGAAATTTCTGGCCTTGTGATGTGATCAGCTTGGAATGATTTTCCTTCTCTGGAAATATTTGAATACAAACAAAGTCTGGTGATGTGTTCAATTACAGTAATGTAGGGAACTAAAGGGATTATGCCTACTAGGAGTACATTAATGTGGTTTTTCAGTTCATTTTTTCCCACTGAACAGGAAATAAACTAAATAGAGACGAAAAGCCCTGAAGCGAGACCTTTATTATTGGAACGGCTTGTTACATGATAATCAAAAATAGCCCATCTTGTTTTATTTCTACAAATCCGGGATTGATGGCGCTGAAAATAAAAATACACTTAACTTGTCAATCTCATTGGAGCTTCTTACTTTGCAGAATTACTGAGATGCAGTGTGAAGATTAGAGACACTAAGTATTTTGTGTGAAAGAGAGCATGCCACAGTTGTTGTAGCAAATGCATTTATTAGTGGTGAGGTTCCTTATGTGATATTACTGGGTTTCTTCACATTTTGTAAGGTCCCAGAGAATGAAACACTGTTGCTCTAAGGAACAACCCTTCTGCCTCCAGAATGGACTCTTGAGAAAATTTCAACAGAGAAACACAGGAAAACATGTGAACAAAGAAATAAACTATGTTTCACGGACGTTCTTTATCACCCTGACTACACTCCCACCTCAACTGTGCTAGCACCAACAGCATTGAAACCAGGGAAGCAGTGACTGTATTGCCAACTCTCACAATTTTGTTATGAGTCACAATATTTGGTGTTTTTCTTAAAGTCCCAGATGCTAGGCTCACCTTATCTGTGAATGTCAATTTTCATTTAAAAACAGTAAGGTTCTTGATCTCATGATTGTGGACAAAAGCTTGAAAGTGTGACCTCTACAAGCTCTAACAAAAACACAAACACCTAATCAGTGTTCTGATTTTTAAGCCACTGTCATGATTTTGGGGGATCTGATTCATGTTTTGTAAATATTTGGGGTGAAATGATGGCCCTAACTTCCATAATGGAATGGAATAATGGCCAAAACGTCCATTGACTTCAACAGAACCAGAATTTTACCCTTGGGGTGAAACACTGTGCGAGAAACAGTAGGGCATAGAGGCGCCGACTTTCTAACGGGCCAGGGGTTGCTTGACCCCCGGCTCTGCCCCAGGCCCAGCCCCTACTCCACCCCTTCCCCCAAGGCCCCACCCCCCTCTTCCCACCTCTGCCCCTTCCCTCCCCTTCCCTCCCCCCACCCTCGCTCCTTCCCCACTCCTCCCAGGGCCTCCTGCATGCCATGGAACAGTGGATCGTAGCAGGCGGGAGGTGCTGGGAGGGAAGGAAGGAAGGAGGGGTAGGCGCTGATTGGTGGGGCCACTGACAGGAGGCTGTGGGGAGAGGGGGAGGAGCTGACTTGGGGGCTGCCGGTGCTGCATCCACCATTTTTTCCCCCATGGATGCTCCAGCCCCGGAGCACCCTGCGAGTCAGTGCCTATGGTTTGACACAGTCATGTGCATGTTTGCAGGACTGGTTCCTATTGCTGCTTGAATGCTTTCTCTGGCCCAGAGGCTTTTCTGAGATCTCGCTTATAAAACAGTACCATAGATGACTTGGTGGTATTGCAGACTTCTCAGAGGAGGGGGAAAATGTGTCCAGATTGTGTAGGCAAACCTTGTTCAAAGTTTGTGCTTGCTTGGTTTCAACCACACAGTGGACACAGCCCTAGTAGTCTTTCAGTAGCTTCTCGCACAAGTCAACTGGTGACTCCTACAATTATTACTCCTGAGGGCATTCTGCACCAAAAAATTAAAAATTCTGCAAATTTTATTTGTCAAATAAATGTGGAGGCTCCAGCACGTCACTGGGAAGCCCAGGACACTGGCTGCTCAGAGGTGGGAGATCACTGTGCAGCTCCCCCGGGACACAGACTCAGCTGTGAAGCTGCACCCAACCCTGACACAGCGCAAGGACCAGGCCTGTCCCAGAAACATCCCAAGGCCCTGCCGCTCAGTTTGGACACGTAGGCTCAGCAAGGCAGGATCCAAGTGTAGAGGGGCTCAGTGTGGGTGATCCAGGTGTGGGATGAGAGGGTTCTGTGTGGGGAAATCTGGGTGTGGTTGGCTCAGTGGGGGATCTGTGGGTGTGGGTGTGGGGATCTGGATGCTCAAGGGCTTGTTGGGGGGGTTCTGGGTGCAACGGTAAAGGGACTCCACAGGGGGATCCAGGTGAAGGTGGTTGGGGTTCAGCAGGTGGGGTTGGGTGTGGGGGGTATAGAGCTCAGAAGGAGTGTGTGTGGGGGACTCAATGAGTGTCCATTTGCTGGGGGAATGGGACTCAGTGGGGTGGGGATCCAGGTGCGGATGGCTCATCGGGGTCCATGTGCAGGGGGAGTGGGGCTCATGGGGAGGTTCTGAGTATGTGTGGGGGGTGAGGCTCAGCACAGGGGTCTGGATGCACAGGGGTTAGGCGGATGGGGGAGCAGCTCCCTGTATAGGGATCCCTCCCCCATAGCAAAGGAGCAATGGGTACAGGAAGAGGGGCAGGGGGAGTTTTCAGAGCTTCCTGCAGCTGGGGGAGAAATCTGGGAGTGGGTCTGACCCAGCCCCAGATGCCATGCAGAGGAAGAGGAAGTCCTGCCTTCCCCAGCCCACCTGTGACTAGCGGCTGAGCCTGGCACAGGGTAAGAGCCACCAGCCGCGTCTTCCCCAGTCCCGCCTCCTGCCCCACAATGATTTACCTCTCTGCCGGCCGCCTTGGGCACCCAAAACATGTGCACAGTGGCGCAGAATTCCCCTAGGAGTAAGTTATGCAGGATTTTTCAGAACAGTGCCACACTTTATTATTTCAGGGTTCTAAACCACATCCTAAAATAACCAACCAATTCAATTTAATCTATGAGGACTGGACCCCTGTTCAGTACCACTGCTTACAATTCAACTCACCCATCTAAGTTTTGAAGTTATCCAGCCAACTTTGCATTCCCCTTAACTTTTTCTTTTCCAGAGAATCTACTCCTCCTTTATACATGCATTTTATGCTTTACATTTCTCCTCTTGATCTGCTGAGCCCTAAGGCCCAGAACCGAAAAAGCATCTAGGTGCCTAACTCCTATAGGACTTAGGCACCTAAATACCTTTGAGGATCTAGGCCTAAGTTCTTTCTGCCCTGTTGCAGCTCCTACTGATTTATTCAGTAAACAATGTCCCTGGGGCATGTGCTTGTCACATTACAGAAAAGTTAAACAAACAGGATTCTTATCAGGGCCTGGTAATAGGATGTGGAGACTTTTTGCTGGGTTACCGGATGATTGTTTGGTGGTCTGCGTGAACAGTGCTGGACCCGGTCTCAGTCCAGTCCCTGGTGCCAGCTACCGCTGGGGCAGAGCTGGGAGTGTTGGTGGACTCGGCAGAAACACCAAGGATTAGTTATTATTATTTATATAACGTTAAAACTTCACCAGGCGCTTTACACACAGCGGCGGGGCTACCCACAAGCACCCGAGGGAGTGTTAGGAACACAAGTCCCATTGAAAGCCATCAACACCCGACTGCAGGGCCCCACCTTTTACAGGCAGTTGTGGCAACTTTTCCAATATCCATAACTTCATTAGCATCACAAATCGCTGACAACGTGAACTACTTCCCCAACCCCACAGAGCAATGGCGGTCCCGTCTCACCCCCACAGAGCAATGGCGGCCCAACCCCTTCTGAGCAACCGCGCCCTTGCGACCACCCCATATTACCAGAGAGCAACGGCAGCTCGACCACCTCCTCAGCCCTCACCCCGCCGCCGAGCAGCGGTCGGCTGATTACGCAGAGTCACGTGATATCCCCTCGCCCTGCCATTGATTGCTGCGGGGGCACGTCGCTGGTTCCCACAATGCTTTGCGGCAGGCGGACGTGGTCCTGCTGCCGATGCCGCGGCTCCGGTGAGGCAGGTAGTTCGAAACGGTCTCCGACGCCTCGCAGAGCAGTTGCCTAGCAACAGACCTAGGCCCGCCTGACCACCCGGCCGTGCGGGCTGCGCGAAGGCGGCTCAGGTGGGAACTGGGGCCGGGCGAGGCAGCCCCCGGGGGCAGGGATGGGGCGGGGCGCCCCTCCCCCATGGGCCCCGGGCGCAGGTAGGGGGCAGGAACAGGGCTGGGTCTCCTCCTCCTCCGGGCACAAGTTGGGGGCACGGATCGGGATAGCGATGGGCCCTCCCCCGGGTGCAGGGATAGGGATGGGGCTCCTCCCTGCCCCCCACCTGCGCCTCCGGCCCCGGGGGGGGGGTGGGGGAATAGGGATAACGATGGGCTCTTTCTCGAGGGCCGGGATAGGGATGGGTCCCGCTCCTGGTGCCCGGGTCCCAGACTGGGGGAGAGGGGATGTGGGGGCTAGTGCCATGGAGGAATTATTCCACCTGCCCCTTGCCTTTCAGAGATAGGGAGGCATAACCCTGCCTATGACCTCTTCCCTGTAGTGTAAGGTTGCGGTAGGTGCCCTGGCACCTCCAGGCGCTGGGCGTGAGTACAAATGCTGCTCTGCAAAACAGCTGTGACCTCTGTTTCCTCCCCACCCCTCCTGCCATGGACAGAGTGCCACGTGTAACTTATGGGTGCAACACAGGGGTGTGTGTTGGGTAGCTGCTGTAGCCAAAAGCTTGTGCCCTTATTGAGAAGGAGGCAGTTCTCTCTCCCCCCCCCCCCCCCAACCCCCGTGATGTGGGTTATCCATAACACCTCAAGATCAGGTTATTGTACTGCACTCTACATGGAGTTACCACAATGACATTACCTGGAAATGGAAACTAGTGCTGAACTGGGTAGCCTGGTTATTAAGCATAATTTTATAACTGAAGCTCATTACAACATAGTTCCAGGATCTTCATTGGCTGTTAATAGACTTCTGCATGGAGACCCCGGCTTTGGTGCTAACCTTCAAAGCATAAGTGGTCTGAGCTCTTGTAACCTGGGAGATTGTTCTGTCCCCATTTGTATGGTACTGGTGCAATCAGTTAAAGTGCTCAAACGAAAGCTTCCTCATTGCAAACAGAAGGAAGTTGGTGACAGGGCATTCTAGGGTTCCTTAACTTTAATATGCAGTTTTCCCCCACTCTCTTGGTCTGCCAAAAGCTAGATCAGGGTGGGCAAACTTTTTGGCCTGAGAGCCACATCTGGGTGGGGAAATTTCATGTAAGACCATGAATGTAGGACGGGTGTGGGAGGGGGTGTGGTGTGCAGGATGGGGCTCAGGGCAGAGGTTGGGGGTGCAGGAGGGGTGTGGTGTTTTGCTGGGGGCTCAGGGCAGAGGGTTGGGGTGCAGGAGGAGTGCGGCAGGGGGCTCAGGGCAAGGTGTTGGGGTGTAGAAGGGGGCTCAGGGCAGGGGGCTGGGGGTGCAGGAGGGGTGTGGGATGTGGCAGGGGGCTCAGGGCAGAGGGTTGGAATGCAGGAGGAGTGCGGCAGGGGGCTCCGGCCCTTCGCCGCTTACCTGGAGCGGCTCTAGGGTGGCAGCAGCGCAAAGCTTGGCTAAGGCAGGCTCCCTGCCTGCCCTGGCCCCGCGCCGCTCCCGGAAGCAGCTGGCACCATGTCTCTGCAGCCCCTGGGAGGAACAGAGGGGGACAGAGGGCTCTGCGTGCTGCCCTCGCCTGCGGGTACCTCTCCTGAACATTAGCCGCGGTTCCCTGTTCACGGCCGATGGGAGCTGCAAGGGCAGCACATGGAGCACTCTGCCCCGCCAGAGGCCGTGGTGCCGGCCACTTTCGGGAGCGGCGCGGGGCTGGCAATCCTGCGGGCCGGATCCAAAGCCCTGACGGGCTGGCTCTGGCCTGCGGGCCGTAGTTTGCCCACCCCTGATCTAGAGCATGCAATGTAAAGCTTTTATACAGTTAAGAAAATAAACTAATAAATAGAAAATTGTGAAACAGTTAAGGTTAATACACATGACATGAGACAAACCCAGAAAAAGCAAGTAAATGAGACGTTAGCCTAACTTACTATACATAACAACAGGCACACACCTTACTATTCCCACAAGAACTGTACACCTTAACTCTGCCCTCTCAATCAGCCCTTCAGCAGGCAGCAGTCTACCAAATTATCCCATCCATTAGTTGTGGATGTTTAATGTAATAAATTCATGTGTTGGAAGGGGATAATTTGAAAAATGAGGGGCTGGAAGTCTAGCATATGTTGGAGAGCAGAGACTACCCATTGCACCAGATCTACTCAGAATTCATCTTTGTTCGTTTTTGTGAAGCTAAGCAATGTGTTGTGGGTTGTTTTTTTTAAAAGGTGGTACTGCCATGAACGACACTCATCAACAGCCCAATTTCAAACCGCTTATATTAAAAATTTATGCAAAGGAGTTAAAAATTGCCTCGAAAATTCAGACTATAAAACTAACACTGTATCACATTTCACACTGAAAGGCCATCTTCACATAGGGAAAAACAGGAATATCTACCTCATATTAAGGCTCATTTCAGAACATAGCTCTGAATATGGAGTTGTAACCACGTACTTCCATATTAAAAACAATTACCAGTTTCCTCTTCTCAATAGAAGAAACTGGGATTAGGTTATGGACCCCACAACCACATATTCCTAATTCCCAGGGGCCCTGCAATGGAAACAGCAGGCTTTAAAGTGAGTAAAGTATTTTTCACAAATTTGTGAAGGGTAGGAGACTCACTGTTATATTTGTAAGGAAAGTGAGGTCCCTTGAGTTTAGGATAGTCTGAGGTAGAGAGTATTTTGGGAAAAAATACTAAATATGTAAGGGATTGAGTGCAGATTAATACCTAAACTTTTGGATGGATAGATAGAAATGACATTTAAAGATATTATTTATACAAATATTTCTTCATCACATTTTCCTATGTACACATATATACACATGCATAAAAAACTGCTTGCTGTAGAGAAATGTTTAATATTTTTGGTTGGCTGAGTAAAATATTCCTTGTTTTTTAATTTCCATCATCCTGTTATAGGAAGGGTTAGTACATTTTTGTTTAGTGGTAAATTTTCATGACCGTTTTGCAGTGCTGAATTGCATACAGTTAAAATATGTATATTTATTAATTTCTCTACATTCATATACTCTTGTAGCCACAGTGTGTTTGGTAGTAGTGTTTTTGTTTGTTTTTGTTTTTAAGCTAAATGACAACTTTTTATACAGTCTTCTGACACTGTTCTTTGGAGACTGAGAAGAAAGAAATGTATTCATTGGATGGCTTAATAAGAAATATTTCACTAATGATATTAAAAAAGACTGTCTAAACAAAGTTTTGTTTTTCTGTCATTTCATAATTCATGGAAGACAGCTGGCAGGTTTCAGGGAGGTTTATCCTTTTTAAGAGGGACTAATTTGCCTTGATATAAATAGCTTTCATTTCATCTGAATCCCTATTTATCTAGGATTTATGAGAATATTTTATTTACAAATAAAATAAATATGTAAAATAGATAACTTAGATCTAGAAGAAGGATTTTATCCACTCTCAGTTCTGCTGTCTCTATTATTGATATTGGCTATTTATATTCTTTGTCCTTAATTCTGGGAGTAAAACAATGATTGAATGGAAATTGGGTTCAGTATTTAATATATGGGCAATGGGATAGTTTTGGAGAGATACATATAGCATTATGTAATCCTACCTACTTGAGATTTTCGCACTCCTCCTTTTTCCCCATAAGAGATTAGGGATAAATGAAATAGCATTTATTAAATTAATCACAGCAATCAGAGAGCTTTATTACTGTAGGTCATTTGTCCATCTTCCTGCCAATATAGGACCGTTCTTGATAATATAATATTCAGCCTAGTTTAAAATGACTGAAGGGATGGGTCTTTGTCCTCTTCACTTTGGAAATCTGCATAGTCAGATAGAAATGGGTTTTAAATTCCATATTTTAATCATGCAATTAATCACACTGTTAATAATAGAATACCATTTATTTAAATATTTTTGGATGTTTTCTACTTTTTCAAATATATTGATTTCAGTTACAACACAGAATACAAAGTCTGCAGTGCTCACTTTATATTTATTTTTGATTACAAGTATTTTTAAATTCACCTAATACAAGTAATGTAGTGCAATCTCTTTATCATGAAAGTTGAATTTACAAATGTAGAATTATGTACAAAAAAACCTGCATTCAAAAATAAAACTATGTAAAATTTTAGAGCCTGCAAGTCCACTGTCCTACTTCTTGTTCAGCCAGTCACTCAGACAAACAAGCTTGTTTACATTTGCAGGAGACAACGCTGCCCGCTTCTTATTTACAATGTCACCTGAAAGTGAGAACAGACGTTTGCTGTTGTAGCCAGTGTCGCAAGATATTTACGTGTCAGATGCGCTAAAGATTCATATGTCCCTTCATGCTTCAACTACCATTCCAGGGGACATGCTGATGACGGGTTCTGCTCAATAACAATCCAAAGCAGTGCGGACCAACGCATGTTCATTTTCATTATCTAAGTCAGATGCCACTAGCAGAAGGTTGATTTTCTTTTTTGGTGGTTTGGGTTCTGTACTTTGTGCATCGGAGCATTGCTCTTTTGAGACTTCTGAAAGCATGCTCCACACCTCATCCCTCTCAGAGATTTTGGAAGGCACTTCAGATTCTTAAATCTTGGGTCGAGTGCTGTAGCTATCTTTAGAAATTTCACATTGGTATCTTCTTTGCATTTATCAAATTTGTAGCAAAAGTGTTCTTAAAACGAACATGTGCTGGGTCATCATCCGAGACTGCTATAACATGAAATGTATGGCAGAATACAGGTAAAACAGAGCAGGAGACATGGAGTTCTCCCCCAAGGAGTTCAGTCAGAAATGTAAGTAACACTTTTTTTTTTTTAACGAGTGTCATCAGCATGGAAGCATGTCCTTTGGAACGATGGCCGAAGCATGAGAGGCATATGAATCTTTAGTGCATCTGGCATGTAAATATCCAGTGCCATGCGAATGCCTGTTCTCACTTTCAGGTGACGTAATTAAGAAGTGGGCAGCATTATCTCCTGTAACTGTAAACAAACCTGTTTCTCTTAGCAATTGGCTGAACAAGAAGTAGGACTGAGTGGACTTGTAGGCGCTAAAGTTTTACATTGTTTTGTTTTTGTGTGCAGTTATGTGTGTAAAAAAAAAAAAAAAAAAAAAA